ACATAATTATACTTACAAAACACTTCAATATGAATTTTAAATGGGCAAAACACATAAAATTTCGTTTTGATAACGAGTAATAGTGAGATTCGAATATAAAATCTTTTATTGAATTTCAAAGAAGGATAATCTTGCTTTTTTCTGTTTCGGATGTGAAGGCTTAGGATTCAATTTTTGTTTTAGGGTTTCTTTATTCGCCCTGAGTTAGAAAATTATACTTGAAATAAAAATTGTCTCAAAAAGCCATTCAACTATAAGAATTTACGTAGAAAAGTCATTAAACTTTATTTTACGTTAATAAAATTACCTCATTAAGGCTTTTATCTTATAAAATTTGATTATCTATCTTTGTTTTGGTGCACAACCTTTTTTTTTTCTCTTTTAGGAGATGTATTATTATAACAAAAAAAAATTAACAACATATTCTAAATAAAACTACACACATAATTGTTAACGTTCCCAAGTCAAAATCATGCAAATTGGAAATCCTAGTTTATCATATTAATTTCCCCTAAAGTGTGATCATTTTTCTTGTGGAAATTGAATAAATTTTCAGCCAAAATAACTTTTATAGAAGTATTTAATTTAATTAGTACACTGTTAAAATCTCACGAGAACTATACAAATGAGGAAAGGCTAAAATTGATTACATGACAATAAAAAAAATTAACTTATTTTCTCATACTACATTTTTTATATAATATATTTAGTCGAGTGATTTTAATTTAAAAGATAAATATTTTAAAGTGATTTTATCAACAAAACAAAATTCAATAATTCTGCTACATAATTTTTTTCTCTCATAGTAAACTTTTAAGATATTAACTCTCGTTAAACAAATTAAATAATTAAAATGTTACTCCTCATGCTTTTTAAAATGGCACCTACCTAACCTTAAATGATTTTGAGATATTAACTCTCGCTAAACAAACTAAATAATTAAAACGTTACTCCTCGTGCTTTTCAAAATGGCACCTACCTAACCTTAAATGATTCCATGAAATTATACATATAGATATACAATATGTTAATCAATTTGAAAAAAGTTGATGCTTTTCAAATCATGTACAATATGATAAAAGGAAAAAAGTATTTTAATTTTCCTACGTTTTCCCAAGCTTATGTACCAAAAAAGTGGCAAAAAGAACCAAATATTGTGCCTTCATCCTTCTTCCAAAAAGACAAATAAATAAAGGGGAGGAAGAGATATACTTCTTCAAGGCAAGAAAACAAGTAACTACCCATCTTACCTATTGCTTTCTTGTCTATTTAGCTTTTTCTCTAAAGGAAAAATAAAATTAAAAAAATTAAAGTTGTGAAATAGAAAGAAAGAAAAAAAAAGCCTATATACCTCAATAAAAAAATTATAATAATGACCATTTACAACTAGGTCTAGTTGAAAGAGCCACTATATATGACACCTCTTTGACCAAGAATTAATGATAAAACATTTGCCTATAGTATTGTTACTCTTGTTGTCTTTACATATAATAGAGGAGGCAATTTATCTTTATTGTAAAAATTTCTAATATTATACTACTTTATAGTGTATCTTGTATATTTTTAAATTATACCAAAGAGAAACATAAGTTTACGAGAATTAGGAGACTAAATTCAAAGGGTTACAATCATTAGTAACCGTCATTTAGCTAAATGTAGGATGCTATTTTTTTCTACTTAATTAAATTATATAAAGTACTTAATAATTGGAAAATGGCAAAAAAAATTTATATAGTCGATATTTACATTAAAATGGAAATCCCTTGAGCTAAAAAGTTTAAATTGTTAAAATAACCGTTTAATCATATTAAACTAAATGCCCTATTTATTTTGTAACTCAATTCATCTCTTGTTAATCTAAATATCATTCCTCGATGTCTTCTGAGTTTTGAGCCGAGCATATTGCATAGGATTTGTTTAGTGCGATTTATGTTCCTGTTTGATTTTGCAGACTATTTTACAATGGAGAGTTTATTTACTATGCACAAAGTGCTCACCATATAATTCTCACCCAAAGGGTTTAAAATGTGGCAGAGATTATAGTAGTTACAGATTATTCTAAAATTCTAAGAGAAAAAAAAAGTTAACGCTTAAATAACCTACGTACCTAACCCTTTATTGAGAGTGACAATCATTTAGATGAATAACCCCTTTTTAATGCATTGTAAAAAGTTACAATGAGTTCTTGAGCAATTGTTCAAACGTCTTTGGATTTAGCAACTTACGTGTAGGGATTAAATATGAATTTTAGAAAAAAATCCCACGTTTAAATTTTAAAAGGGACGAACCAACAAACTACTATATTATTACACCAAAATAAATAAATTTTAAATAACAAAACATGTTTTTTTTTTTAATAAAATTAAAACAAAATCATCAAACATTACAGAAGTAACCTTCTAGAAACTAAAAATCATGTACCAAAATATCTACTAATCTAGAATATGTCAAAAACTTCTTGAGCTCAAATCACACACGCAAGTGTACGTGGTCATTTAGGTACTTTTAAAGTGGATCTTATGAATTGAAGAATCAGGTATCGTATCCACAGAGACTTAGATTAGAATATCATGATTTTTCCAATACTTTTCGTTAAACACAAGCGTTATCAAGATTAAAAGACTTATTGATTTTTATAAACGATAATTTAAGTAAAAGCTAAACAAAAGCTATTCAATTTCTAAAGGGCTTAAACATTGGTTGGGTGAAGTCCAGGACTGTAGCTCACTTCAGAAATCATGCACATTTTCCTGTAAAATGGATATTCATCAACTATCGAATCAAGTATTCCCTGATTATGATCGAAATTTCAAAGAGATTCCTGAACTATTCTAAAGTCCTATTGACCCTCGAAATATTTTTTTTTTGTAATTTTATGCACTTTTTTGGCTTACGTGACATCCAAATATCTCGCACGCGCCTCAATTGCGTGGAGTCTTGGAGTGTGTCATTTAAGACAAAAGGTGTATAAAATTACAAAAAAAGAAAAATTAAAAATTCAAAGAATAATAGAACCTTAGTTTAGTTAAGGTATGTCTCTGAAATTTTGATCGCGGTCTCGATCTAGGGGGTAATTGTTCCTATTATAATAAGTAGAGTAGTATCCTTTGGGGTAATTGTTCCTATTATAATAAGTAGAGTAGTATCCTTTTCTAATGAAAACTGCTCATGTGTCAAAACATATAACAATAGAGATGATCAATTTGCTAATTTATTGTAGTTTAATTTCAAAGATGAAAGAGCTCACATATTTGTGGTCTTTAATATGTTGTATGGGCAATTTACAATGTGAAACATGACAGTTCTTATGATCTTTTTACTACTACTTAAAGAAAATATTTAAGACTTCAAAATGAACTAAATTTATTTTAATTTTAAGGGAAAATGCTTAAGTACCTGCTCAATCTACGTCCAAAATTCTAAAGACACACTTATACTATACTAAGGTCCTATTATTCTCTGAGCTTATTTTATAAGTAATTTTCTACCCCTTTTCAGCCTACGTGACACTAATTTGACAAAAAAAGTCAATCATCGTAGGACCCACAAGATAGTGCCACGTAGGCCGAAAAAACGCAAAAAATTATTAATAAAATAGGTTCACGGAGTAATAAGACCTTAATATAGTATAAGTGTGTCTCTAAAATTTCGTGCATAGATTGAGAGAATACTTATGCGTTATCCCTATTTTTAATGCTCTCCTAATATTTAAGATGTTGAAATCAATTAAATTGTATGTCTCAAATCTTTTCTTATTTGAATAATGTTATCAATAAATACAATTATATTAAAAACTATCTGTTTGTTATAATTAGAAAGAAAAAGACAAGCGAAATTAGAAGAGTAATGTGAAAGCGATATAATAATTTTTTTATATATATTTATTATTAATTAACGTGATATACAAACACATACACTTAACTAGTTTATCGCTAACTTTGAAAGAAATTTGAATTGTCCTTTTCTTGTACTTTATGTACAAAGTAATATGAATAAATTATGATAAATCTAAAGCAAAGAACCACTTAAACATTAACAAACTTGCTTTGAAAAAATAATAAATAAATTCATGGATTAATATAAGTGTACAATAATTCATTAAAAAAATACCCCCTTCCGCTTATTTTTACTTGTCTACTATACTAAAACAGTTGCACAATAATAATTGTTCAGTTTGTAAAATCAAGCGATAATTTATTAATCTAAATTTATTTTTTTACCCTTGTTGTTACATACTATTCAATATCTAATACATTTCTCAAGACATTGAATTTAATACATTCAGTAAATAATATAGTAATATTAAACTTACTATTTATTGTTTGTAAGATGCATGTCAAGTCAATAATGAATAACTAACGTTAACTGTGTAAGACTAGTACTAGTTGTAGTCCTCTATAGTATCTATTATTTTTTTTGTTGATGATCTCCTTTAATTAAGTTAGATATTGAAAATAGGGGAGGCAATTCTCATTAATCAATGTAGACATTTTGAAGAAAAGTGTACACTCATTACCCACTTCTCCAAAGACCACATATCTTTGTGTTTTTTTTTTTATATACCTACATCATCTCCCACTAAACCCTAGATGTATTTGGTGGTCAATGGTTCAAACTCCACCTTCACAAAATTACAAGGACAAAAGAAGGAAAAAAATTAAAGTAAATAATTTTATTTCTTTTTCCAATAAAAGAATATACGTAAAGAAAAAGAAAACCCTCTTTTCTTTAAATTTTTTTTTTCTCTCTCTCTCTAATTATTAATTTGACAGCAAAAGATTCTTGTTGCTTGAAGAATGGATACTACATTGCATGTAACATAACATAATTTGGTTTTAAATGGATAAGGGGAATCTACTAAGGTGAAATAATGAGTTAGTGCATCAATGAATAAGCTAGACTATTAAATTAAATTAATTAAAAATTATATTTATAAAGTTATTATTATTAGTATTGGTTAAGCTTTTTCACCTTTTTTTCTTTGTGTATATATAGGGGCACACTTGCTATATTTACATACCCCATCCAAAAAAAAACCCTTTGTTTTGAGAGCGTGTTAACAAGAAATTTAGAGATGGCTGGTGAATTTAGCTCCCTTGTTAACAAGATCAAGCCTTATTTGGCTATGGTGTCTTTGCAATTTGGTTATGCAGGGATGTATATTGTCACCATGATGTGTTTCAAAAGAGGAATGAGTCATTGGATTCTTGTTGTTTATAGACATGCATTTGCCACCATTGCTGTTGCACCCTTTGCTATCGTTCTCGAAAGGTCTATCTATCTATCTGTCTGTCTATTGATTTTATTTTCTTTCTACTTGATCAATTCATCCATAGTACGTTTGTAGTAGAATATATACGTGTATAGAGATGCAATATCAAGAAAAGGTCTTTGTGTTTCTTGTACTTGGTTGAATCACAATCATATATTATGATATGTTTCATTTTATATCTGGTGTTGAAGTAACTCATTATTTCATTGAAATTTTTTAAGGTATATATAAAATATCGGGACATCTGCATGTTCTAATACCATGTTGAATGTTTCGAATGAAAAATTTTAACAAAGAGAGTGCATTTTTAAATATCTAACGTCCCAATTTTTGAGAAGTTAAACGTAAATTTTGACACAATTTTTTTGTTTTGATAATTTTGTATGCAGGAAAATAAGGCCTAAGATGACACGCAGGGTCTTTATTAAGATAGTGGCTCTTGGTTTTCTAGAGTACGTACTTTATTTAAAACTTAATTTACATGTGATTAAATTATTACCAATAATTATATTTGTTAGTAGTAAATTTTTTTTCATAAAATAATTTAATTTTTCTATTATTAAGTCATGCAAACACATGAGATTCTAATGTCACTTTTTCTTTAATTTAATTGTAGCATCTTTTGCTCATTTCATCATATGCTTAAAATTGAATATAGAATCATAGTATAAAATTGTTTTAACTTTTTCATACGAGATCTAAAATGCTTAATTAATATTTAAAAACGTTTGGTTAAAGAATTATACTATAAATTCTACAACTTTTATAGCTTCACATCACCCTAAACCTTAACTTATATACTATCCTACCCTACCCACCCTCCCCCAACTATAATATACATATAGTTTTAATTTTCCCTAGTTTTTTTTAAAATTAAATCGAAGAGATTCAATAAAAAATAATTCACACACTAAACAAAATAAATTAAAATTCAGCTGTTTTTATGGTATGTATTTTTTTTTGGGTTAAATTTAGTACGTAAAACATATTTTGGTGATAGAGTAATCACTAATCATATTTTTCTTAAAGGTTAAACAAGACAAATTAACTTCATAACGTGGAATTTATTGCTAATCATTTGGAATTAGCTAGAAAACAAATTAATTATGTTTGAAAAGTTTAAGTACTAGAGACAAAAATAATACAATGTTTAACAATGTTATTCTATTTGAGGAATATTGATCAAGAATATATGTATAGTACTACTATAAAAAGCATAAATAAAATGATTCCAGAATTAAAAGATGTTGTTTCATGGAATAATTTTAAACTTTTATATTTTAATTATGTTTAGATTAATATATTGTACTAATTATTATTATTATTATATACTTATAAATAAATTATAAAAAATTAAAAATAAATGTAATTTCAGGCCAGTGATTGATCAGAATTTGTACTATTTGGGACTGAAGAGTACAACTGCAACTTATGCATCTGCTTTTGTTAATCTCCTCCCAGCAGTAACCTTTATTCTGGCTGTAGTTTTCAGGTAATATATATATTCTTATTATAATAAATTTAATGTGTATTAAATTATTAATTATTGAAATAAAATAATATGGTAGTTGATTGTACATGTAATAAGTTATGAAAAGAGTATGACCTCATATAAATAAAGTTGTTGCTTCCCACTTGTAAAGCAAAAATCATATATCTCGAAAAAAAAAGAAGTTAGTGGTTGCTTATGTAGTTATGTTATATGATTACTGACACATTATAGAGATTTTCAAAAAATAAAATAATAAAAAATTATAGTATAAACAAAATTACTAGCGATCGATAAATTCTGTAGCTAAATAACATAATAATCGAGATTTTTCTTTTATTTTGTCGTGAGTAGAATTGAGAAGGTAAATTTGAAGAAAAAATCAAGTATGGCAAAGGTTATAGGAACAGCAATAACAGTGGCTGGAGCCATGGTGATGACTCTATACAAAGGGCCAATGTTCAACCTGGTCCCACGTCACGGTGGCGCGCACCACGAAGCCTCTGTCGCGGCCCCTGAGAATTGGGTAGCCGGAACCATTGAGCTCATCGCTTGCATTGTTGGTTGGTCCGGTTTCTTTATTGTTCAAGTAAGTTTAGTAACTCTAAATAGTTGTTTACACAACGAGTTACATTATAATATATATATAATTTTTTTTTATGTATATATAGTCGATGACACTGAAAGAGTATCCCGCGGAGTTATCTCTAGCAGCATGGGTATGTGTGATGGGTGTAGTGGAAGGTGGAATTGTTGCACTTATAATGGAACGTGATTGGAATGCTTGGGTTATTGGATTTGACTCTAGACTCCTTGCTGCTGCCTATTCTGTATGTATTTTTTTAATTATTCTAATTAGTAAATTAATTTTTTTTATATATATATATAATTTAATTAAGATTCTAACACTATATACTATTAATTTTTTTTTTAGGGTATTGTATGCTCAGGAATTGCATATTATGTGCAAAGTGTTGTTAATAAAGTTAAAGGCCCAGTATTTGTAACAGCCTTTAGCCCATTAAGTATGGTTATTACTTCAATTCTTGCTGCTATTATCTTAGCTGAATCAGTCCATCTTGGAAGGTATATAACACAATTTTATTTTTTTTGTATCAACATATTACTAGTGATTCATTTCGATTGTTATCTAATAATTGATTTATCGCGACGATTTCAGCTTAATTGGAGCAATTATCATAGTCATGGGACTATATTCTGTGGTGTGGGGCAAGAGTAAAGAAGGGAAAATCAATGATATCACTAGTAAAGATCAAGAATTACCAGTTGTGGATATTAAAGAAAGATCAACTATTGTTGATGATAATATTAATGAGAAGAAAACTTCAATCTACCAAGAGCATTAACATGATTTAAAAAAAAAAAGAAGAAGATGTTGTATCTTTAAATCTGTAATTTTAATTTTTGACTTGTTGCAATGTTTAAATTTTCTAAGTGTTGCTCTTTAAAACAATGCAACTAATGTTGTGATCAATTGTTGCCTAATGGAAGGGGAAGAAAAAAATGTGTAATCTACTTTTTGTGTAAAAGTTAAGGAGTTGTATCTCCATTTGGGAATGAAAAATGAAAATGTTTTATATTATATTTATCGTTTTGATATTTCAAAGTATATTGTCGCGCTTCAATTATAGAGAAATATGTCATCGATATCAAAAGAATTTAAAGATGCACCAAATACATCACTCTATCCATCATGATTCACGACAGATGTAACATAATCGTTTAATTGAGCATAACTTTAATTTAATTGGAAATTTGTATAGATCATAACTTTGCAAGGTGTACATCATGATATTTCACCACTTTTTTTAAAAGTAAATATGTTTTGTTTTTTTTAAATTCATCAAAAATATATAACTTGTAAAAATGTGACCACAATTAGGTCCTTAACACAAACTTTGGCGTATACTCTTAGGATAATGACCCCACATCATCACTAAATATATTCACTATCCAATATAAGTTGTGGAATTTCAATTCACTTTGTTATATCAATTTATATCAATTGCATTATTATATAGACATAATACATATATTAGACCTTAAATTTCGTTTTAAATTTTAACTTTAACCTCCAATTTTTATAATACACAAACAGACACTTTAACTATCCAACTTTTAAATAAATAAACACATGTCTTACATGACACAATACACGTAGGACACCACGTAGAGTTAAAAATGATATGTAGGATGACATGTAGGACATGTGTGTCTATTTGTTCAACTTTATACAAGTTTAAGTGTCTATTTGTGCACATCCAAAGTTGAAGGATATAAATATAGTTTGAAGCCAGGTTAAAGGGCACATTTATGTATTATGCTTATTATATATTCGTAATCCATATGAAAAATGTATATGTAAGATCGTGATGATAAATGTATTTCAAATGTCACGTGAATATGCTAGTCTCTTTCAAAACAATGCTCTTAGGCCACCAACTTCTCAAGTAAACATATGGTTTTTAATGTAGGATACAAAATGATTGTAACAACAAATAATCAATTCAAGTTATATATAGTCTATCAACTAGGATCTCAACTTAGATTACAAACACATAATCATTTTTTTTTTCAATATTTGAATCACCATATACACCCAACCTAAGCACATTGCATACTTTGTGTAATATAAATCATCGTTCAAGCATAGTCAAAGAGAGTAAGTTATATTCTACCTCGAAAGCTTAACAAAACGTGATACAAATTAATGATGAGTAATTGTTAAATGAATCATAAAATATATTTCACGCCTGTTGGAATTATCAAATAATTCAAAAAAATTTTGATCAATACGATGGTCAATCCTAAACTTTACAAAATCTAGACATCAATTGCGATTAAGGTAAACCATCCAATTAAGTTAGAAATCACTCTTCCAACCTAGTGGAATCATCAAGACTCAAATCCAACTTCGTTAAACCAAAATGTTGACCTTGAATAAACTTTCAAACTAAATATTTTTCTAAAACATATATAATCACCTCGGAGATTGTGTCACTCATCTCTGTAAGTCATCGATAAATAAAGAAAGGTATAATGAGGGTTTAAACGTGAAAAAAGATATAGAAAT